CTGCTACTACTATGCAAGCTGTAACTACCTCCTAAACTTGAAAACTGACAGAAAGATCATATGACCACAAAGCAAACAAAATAAAATGGTTCCAGTTTACCTTATAAATATTTGGTATACAAACTAAAATGTAACCTCTGCTGATAAACATCTGCAACTATTACAACTTACCTGTATTATAATGCAAATCTCAGTATTCAATCAGAACAGGTTTTCAATTTTTATTGAGCAGTTCCTAAACCTAGTAAGGGTTTCAAAAAAATCAGAATTCCCATACCACCTTATTCTGAGAGGACGCTAATTTTTGATAAAGAGGTTAAAATTCTTGGTAAGGGAAGGTTTTTTTGATGGTCTCAGTGTATGCATTATACAGTCACGTCAGCAGAAACAGGAATATGGAGGTAAAGAGGTATGTGGAACCAATTTAAGTGTCAGGTTTAAACAAACTACTTTGTAAACTTATTAAAATACTGGCTTTTTTTTCTATACCACCCCTATCTTCATACGCATTTAACCTACCAAGAGTTTGGATTAGCAGCAACTAATATTTATGTAGCACTTCGCAATTTGCAAAGCACTTTTGACACACATGATCTCATTTGAGACTCACCACTAAATAGGAAGGCGCTATTTTTAGGTCCCATTTTTACATGTGAGGAAGCTGACACTAAATGGCTGACTTGCCCAAGCTCACAAAGCTGGCAATAGCTGTGTGGGACCTGAACATAAATCTGCTGACTTTTAAATAGCCTGCTTTTGCTACTGCACTATGCTGCCTCAAATAATGTAATCAGAGTAAATAAATGCCCAAATCTCAGGCTCATCTAAGCCTTCCCTACTCACACACAGCCACTCCTAGGTCTAAGTTATAATTAGCTCTAGAAGGTCTTCACTCCTTATGGAAGTAGAGTTTTCATTTCTCTGGGAAACATTTACCTGGCTAACGTGCAAATGAAGAGATCATATAAATACCATTCTATATACACTGGAAAATATCTTAGTCACCAAGGGCTCTGCATAGGCATGCCTATGTGCATTTGCCAGGTAGTGGGTCAGATTCTGAGTCCATGACCCTAAAAAAGTTAAAACTCAGGCTAGAGATGGTGGCTAGATGTCTTTCCAAGAAACTAAATCCATAAAGTTCTTAATATAAAGAGTTTTATCTAGGACTCATACAGTGCCCCACTTACCTTCTGCCTCCCCTCTCCAGGCCTTCTTCCAGGGCCAATAGGATCATTCAGTATCTACAACTGTTTTTTAAATCATATATAAAACCTGGAGCAACTAATAACATATAAATCAATGACTTGTAAAAAGTAAACTTAAATTAAAATTATGTTAAAATGTAATCCTTAACACATACTCCTTTCTCTTATGACATAACTTCCCAGAATGACTGTTTTCTTACCATAAGCATTCCAATTCCCCAAAAGAAGTTTCACAAACATAACTACTTTGAACTCCTGAAATACCATTCTTCACTAAGAACCCTCTAGATTACACAGAAGACAAGGTAGCATGCAAGGAATTCTGAATCTGTTAAGCAGTTCACTCAACTATCATACCAAAAGGATTTAGAATTTTTTTGCTGGGGGCAGGGAACATATAAGAGTGGGAGAGAATGAATACAGCCCTATTGTCTTATTGCTTGAAAACTAATCAAATCGGTAACATATTCCTACTAACTACTCAACTTGAACATCAGAAGTATAATCTCTTTTAATCTTAAATAGAGCTTTTCAGTTCAAATCTGTATAAATAAACTTTGTCCTTCAATCTTTCAACTCCTCGGCAGTTTTTCAAGGTCACTTTTGCGAGCAACGACAGAGGCCTGCATTTGGCAAATTTGACTACTACACCACTCCAATTCTAAGAGTCCAAAATCTAAACCCCTATCGATCCTCTCAGGTAAATCCTTTACTTGAGGGGAAGTGAAGGGAAGGCAAATCAACACCCACCAAACTTCTCTTCTAAGAGGGCCTGCTCCTGTTCCCTACCCAGAGAGTGAGTGCTGCTGGCTCACTGTTCCACACTGAGTCTGCTGCAGAAATGTTCCAATGACCTTCATTCCATACTTGCAAATAAAAAGAAAACAAAGAATTGCTTTTTAAAATCAAGTGTATTATAGATCTTTAGTATGTGGGATGGAAGATTTCACTAGTCACAAGAACTGGCTGGTTATTGATTAGCAACCTGCATATGCTTCATATACTAAAGAGAAAAAAATAATATATCAAGGGCAAAAGACAGGGTGCCTACACTCTTAACTTTCCTATTCACAAACTGCAGGTAAATTAGGATTTAAATATTTCATACAGAAAATGAAAAGCATTTTGCTCACATCATTTTAAAGAACCAAATCAACACCTGACAAAATGTGTGAAATTGGTGGAAAAAGATTTGTTCTTGTCACTGTCAATATAGTAGAGAGTTATGTTCTAACCAGAATTCTATGCTAAAATGTGCATTTTAAAACAAAGATTGTTACTTAATCAAATTGGTACTTACTAGAATCTAGAAATAGATAAATCAAGAAAGTTACGGGAGAATTTCACATTGGCATGTGGGCCTTCACCATTAGAAGCTGCATTAGTGCAAATCATATTTTAACACAAATTTAGAACAGCAATAGTGTTGCTTCCACCTCTGAAAACACAGATGTCAACAAAGTGCATGGAAATAGAAAAAGTCTTACAATAACTCAGCTTATTCTGTAGGAAAGCTTCAGTGCACTTGAACAAAGGAAAATTATTTGGAAAACAGTTAAGTTTACCCAATGCAAAGAGAAAGTGCTCTGCTTCTGTGTGCCCTGAAAAATGATTAGCCTTTTTCCATGTACCTGATCTTGTCCATACTCAACTAGGAAAAGAAATCCCAGTTGAAGGGCATGCAAAATCTAAACAGAGCAAGGTATTCTAGGTGCACCAAAAGGTATGCATGGAATGTAAAGTGGCCATTTTCTGAAACAGTGCAACTTGTCTACACTCTCTGAAGCTAAACAGTTTCTACCATTTTAACACAAAACAAAGAATTAAACTTACCGGGAACTGCATTAATTTAACATGTAGTTATTTATATCTCCTCGGACAGGGAGAATTTAAGTCACTCCTATCCCTCCCCCCCAAAAGGACGGAGGAAACAAAAGGCAGCAGGAGATGCAGAAACCTGAGTCTGGAATGTCCACTCCAGTGAAAACCCGAACAGCTGTCCCCCCACCCTCTAGCAAACTATTCGCCATTTTTCTTTGTCTTTCAGCTGACCCCTGCCTCAGTGAAAAACTCCGAGGCTCCAATGAAGCCCTGCAGCCTCCTTCCACTTTAACAGTCAAAGGCATTCAATCTAGCATGCTATTTGACACCAAACCTTGCCTCCAAAGTGGTCCCATTGGCTGAACTGCTTTATAGGCTAAGAATACAAAGCCATGATTGGCTGTTCACGTCATCAGTTACCTCCTTTGTACACTTCCTGTTTTAAAGTTACCTTGAGAAGCAGAACAGGGGTCAGATCCAGACTCCAAACTACAGGGAACTTAAGGCGTGGAAATGCCTGGCAAATGCACACAGCAGATGCACTAGGGCTTCATGTGCTTCCAAAACAGAGGATACTGCAAATTTAGAATTGTTTTTAAAATCACATGAAAGGGCTGTTACAGTTCCCACCCTAAGGATTTCTCATTGGCTGTCAGAGTTCCATTTAAACAATTTAAGGTAATTTAACTGCTTCTGATTGGCCATCAAAGATGTCTGTAAGATATTGCTACAGTATCCTATAGCAGTAAAACCAGAGAAGCAATGTGCACAAGGTTGGAAGTTGTGACTTAACTATCTTCGATTTTCTGCTGAGCATTAACAGAAGTTGAAAAAGAAAATTGGGTGGGGTAATCCAATGGCTCCAAAGAAAATGCAGTTTCTTCAACAGTACCAAAGAGTAATTTCAATGGCCATACAATAATCTGCAGAATTTCTAAAAAGGCATCTGTCACTGTGTCCATGGTAATTTTAAAAGCACATGTCTCTGTCAGTACCAGGCAAATCACTTTATTTCGAAACACTAACTTAAACAGGAAAATTTTGAGGTAATCTATAAAGTTAGTGACAGAAACAGTGGCATTTCCAAAGTCTACCAGTAATGATAAAGGGGGAGAAAAAATAGCAAAGAAGATAGAACATCAGTGAATATATTTTTAAAGCACATTACAGCTTGCTAGATTAACTAATTTATTTAGGGCAGTCACAAAATGTAGCTGATTAGCTTTTAATAGAGGATAAATTTTTCTACCACATTTTCAAGGATAAGCAGGAGAGCTGATCCCAGCCTGAGATATTATAAATACAGGTATCCCTTGCTTTTCTAAAGTTCACTTTACACCACTTCACTTTTACAAAAGACCTAATTAGTACCTGTTTTCACTAACTTAAAAAAATCCAAAAGGATTTTTGCTTTTATGAAAAAATACAAAAAGCGAAAACAGCAGTCAGCATTAGTTTTGAAGCAAGCACTGGAACAGCAAAAGTGGCACCAACCACCAAGCTCCTTCCCCAAGAACTAGGAACACTTAGCATCTCAGCATCAACTGGCCTTGAACTGTGTCTGTAAGCATCTGTGCTTTATTTCAATTTATTTTGTGCATCTATTAGCAAGATGAGTCCTAAGGTGATTGCTTCTTCACTTTACACCATTTTGGATTACAAAGGTTTCATAGTACTGACCTACTTTCGGATAGTGGGGGAAACTGGTAGAATTGTGGTTAATGAAGACATTCTGGGGGCACTGAAGCTTACCAGTGTTGGTTGAAGATTTACTTATGGCTTTGGGGCCCAAATGTTTAGATTTTAAGAGGAGCCTCTTAAAATGGTGAAAATCAGTTAACGTGTCTTTCTTTTTACAAAATATTAAAGTAGAAACATCTCACTATTACTTGGGGTCTTTAACAATCTCCTTAGATCTGCTCTGCCCATCAAAGCTCAGTATCCCAGGAGTAAACAACACAACTATTTTACCAGGTAGATGAGATCTCTTCTAGAAATACCTTGGTTGATCTCACATGAGAGGTCATCGTGGGCATATGCAGAGATTCGGCAAAGCCCTGAAATAAAAGCAAGGCGGTCTGTCCAATCACTTTTCCATGTTAACTTCTCTACATACATTCTACTCATTTCCTACACTAAAATGAAATAATTTCTGTATACTAATCAGTGCCAGGTTCTGTCCTGAGTACTTTACCCCTCTAATCCTCACTATCCCCTTTTACATATGAGAAAGAATGAGGTTCAGAGAAGTTAAACTGGCCCCCTAACCATGTACCTAGGATGCAAACTCAAGTCCCACATAGGGTAGTACTCTTTCCACTGCATCAATTGCTTACCAAAACATGGAACACCTCAGGAACATCCAAGGAAATTCTCAGATGTCACACATATGTACAGATAGCATAAGTCATTACACGCAACTTCATTAATTTAAAAATCAGAAATGAGACTAATGTTGAATTTGATCTGTTGGTTATAGATTTAGCTATTTGAAAAAACGGACCCTATAAGTTGGTACACATTTTATTACTCAACTATTAGGAACATTTAACCAGTAGCGAATCACATTTATAATTTATAAGGACTTAAAATAACTAACAATCATTAAAAACAATATACTTTAAAATATTAAAGGATTGCAAGACAATTTCACTATTGCATCTAAATAAGAGTTTAGTTATGCTAACGGGGTATGTTGTGGGGCAAATCCTGAAGCTACACAGAATCAGAGGTATTGTAGTTCTCTCTTCAAAAATTTAGATCACAGATTCTGAATAGGTATCAGTCTAAGAAAAAAAGGCAGAAGGCCAACAGACCAGCTGTGTGCCTTATCCACACTAGAGCCTCTTTTAACCCAAAACACTAGAGGTCAAGTCAGCTGCAAGGAAGCAAAGCAGCTCATTTGAGGAGTGAGAGGCAGAGAAACAGAAAAAAACATATTCACAACACTATTAATCAGTGTCACTATGGCAAAATAACTTAAGCTCTGGGAGTCAGGCAGAGCTAGTTTCAAATTCTGACTCCTCTACTGGTCTAACCCTGAGACTATTTCCTCATCTGTCATATACAGATATCTCTATCACAGAGCCACTGTAAGAATTAAGTGAGCTAATAACGTATGTAAAGTATGTTGTACTTAATAAGCACTGAAAAAAAAATGGGAAGTGCTAAAAGTCACCCAATCCAAATCTCTTGTTTTAAAAAGGGCTTAAGGTTCGGAGAGACTTAGCTCCTTAAGGTCCTAAAGCTACCATGAGGAAATGTCTCTTTTTATCTCTAGCATACTCCGCAACTCTGCAGAAAGCAACTCCTGAGCCATAAAGGGCAGTGTGGGAGAAGTACCAGCTGCTACTAAAAATCTTCCCCAGTTTTTATGCCAGAAATTCATGCCTTTCACCACCAATCCTGGCTGAGGTCTGCTTATTATTCTAAAAGCCTACTCTTCAATTCTGCTTTTGATGTACCAGATTAAACCAAACATGTCTCTATACTCTGTGAAGGTCTTTGACATAGTTTTCATTAGTCCTTGGCAATTTGCAAAAAACAAACAAAAAAAACCCATTCCAACCCCTATTTCTCATCAATAGTCGCCTTAGTAGAATTCAAACCACTGGAAGAGAGCTTGAATTATCCTAGAATTTCATTTGGCAGCCTGACCCATTCGCTTACTATAGCTTTCACTCCTCTAGCCTGTCATTACTTCGGACTAAGAGCCTCATGGGATCTCTAGGATTCCAACTCACATTCTTCCCTGAACCTGGATCTCAGCAGACTCTATACCAGACATATGCATCATCTTGCCCTAAAAAACACTCAGATCACTATGAAACAAAATCAGTGCCTCTGGTTACACGGTTCAGGCTTTAATGCTCTCAAAGGCAGGATGGAAACTGATGCTCTTAGTCAGAAAATTGGTTTTGAATCATAGCTACCTACTTACTAGCTTTATGACCTTGGCCAAGTTACTTAACCATTTCTGAGCTCACTTCCTCATGTGTAAAATGGGAGGAGGCAACCCATCAACTCGCAATAGTGTTGAGGCTTAAATAAGTTAAAGCACTCAGCATTAATACCTGGTATGTGATAGGTGCTCAATTAATATCAAAATATACATTTGACCATAGCACTTATCATATATTATAATTACTTTTTACCATGTTTCTATTACCAGAAAAGGGCTTCTTGAAGGCAACAATTGTGTCTTATTTATATCCACATATATCCCTAGTGCTTGGTACAGAGATATAAAACCCAGCCTTAACCACAGTGTCAAGGAAATAACAGCGAGTAGTGGAGAACTGAGGAAAACTGGAGAGTACATGTCTCATCTATAAGGGCAGCTACTACTTAGTGCCAACTGACAAGGGCCATAGAGGAACTCTGGTCCACTGCAGTTAAGAGCTGCAGATGATAAAAAAAGAAAAAGCCAGATCCTGGACACAAAAAGTTGATGCTAGAACAGCTCCTGATCTGGCATTCTGAGGAATGACTGAAGGATCAAAAGTTGGCCTCAACCACCATGACAATTTCTGCCAAGGACAGAGTCTTCTCAGTATTCCAGATTACCTGATTTGAGAGTTACATTGTATCCCAGCAGAAGCTAAAACAGCAGCAAAAACACTAGGCTCTTCAGTGGCCCAAACATTTTATTGATGGTGACCTTAACTAACTCCTTCAGACTTAGTAAGTAAACTTGGGGGTCCCGGAAATATCAGAGAACCTGTAGAGAAAAATAAAATTCTCATATGTTGGAATGGGGGACACAAAGCCATATTCATTTGAATATTAAATATGTTGTATGCATTATTATATACTAAGCTGATGAGATGGATGTATACAGTAGTTTGTTTTTTAATGATGCTGTTATAGGTTAGGTGGATGGGGTACTTTTTTAAGAACAGCCTTAAAAAAAAAAACAAAACACACCTTTAATCCAACCACTCAGAATCAAGCACTGTTGGTATTTTAGATTATATACTCTTAGAAATTTTTCTTATGTAAATAAGAGGCTGAGTTAGTACAGCAATATTAGAAAATACTATACAAACTATTTTGTAATGTTTTTTCACTTAAAAACGTGAATATTTTTTCATATCAAATATAGACCTATGTCATTGGTTATCGAATAATACTCCATTGAATGGATGTGACATAATTTTTAATCAGTTTCACATTAATAATCTCAATTTTTTCAATTTAAAAATATTATAAATAGCACCACAGAGGAATCCATTATGCCCATTCCTTGTACCACTACCCTCATTATCTCTTTCAGAACTGTTGCAATGGCTTCACAAGTAGTATACTTTTGTCTGTTTTTTTTTTTTAAAAAAACAAGCCAACTTGTTTTAATGTTAACTCTTTCCATTTTCAATTTTGGTTTAAATTTTTTAAAAATTATAAACAGATCGAAGAAAACAAGGCTGCCAGGTTGTAACTTCTGAACCATATTTTTCACCCGACTTGGTCCTGAACAACTATTGGCCATTTTCCAAATCAAATCCACCTTTAAGATTTAAAAAAAGAATGTCAACACATTTTCTAAAATATCTGACAGGAAGTCTGAAGATAATCCTCAAAGAAGTCCCAGAAACATTTTGAACAATGACAACATCAAGAGAATAGAGAACCTAGCACTGGTACTCAGTAAATGGTTGCTCAATAAATGAATAAAATAACTAATAAATAAGACCTTAAGTGGACTATAAATTCTGACTTATTTGCTTTTAAAAAATTATATTCTCCAAAGCATAAATTAAGACTAGTAGATAGAATACTATTCTAGAGGGACCTATTTCAGCTCTCAGAGTTATCCAAAGATGGCACAAGCTGCCTCAGAAGCTCTGGATGGGGTTGTTAGCAAGGCTGTTGGAACACTTGACAGAAATGTGTAAAGACAAGATGAAAAAGAGCAGCCATGTGGAGAAGCAGGGGTAAAAAAAGAAGCCGGGTCTTTGCAGCTAGACAGATTTAGATTGTAATCCTTCCTCACCCACCTCTTTTTAGCTGAGTAACCCTGGGCAAGTTACTTAACCCCACTAAGGCAATTTCTTAAACTACAAAAGGTCTTGCAAGGTTATAAGGATTAAGGATACTTTCATTCATTCAAATAAGTACTTATATGTGTAGGCATTGTGTTAAGATCTGGGGATCCTAAACAAGACAGTCCTTGTCCTCAAGGGGATTAAAGTCTATTATAACATACAGGAAAATTAAAATAGGCAACCATAGTGCTATGTGTTAAGAATTACAACAGGGGCAAAAGCATAATACAGGACATAAGCAGAGCCTATCTCAGTTTCAGGCTAGTCAGAGAAGGCTTCTTGGGAGATTTAAAAACCTACTTAGATAGATAAGCAAACTGCATGTACAAAGGCCTGGAGCTGATAGAGAAGGATTACATTCCTGGAACGCCTGTAGTTTGGTATGGCAACAGCCCAGAAGCAAAAGGCTAGAAGTAAAGTTAGGAAAGTAAACAAGGCTGGAAAAGGCGAAGATACTGGAATTTTACTCTGAGGACAATGGTGAGCCACTGAAGAGTTTTAAGCACAATCAGATTATCCTTTTAAAAGATCTTTTTGGGTAAAATGTGGAGAAGGAGATGGGGTGGGAGAGTGGCAGCACTCTAGTGAGATAACAGAAAACAGGACACTGCAGTAATCTAGTTACTGGAGAAAGTAGTGAAGCTGTTGAAAAGTAGAGGAATGAGAAATATTAAGATAAAAAAAATCATTTAAGACCAGTGGTTAATAAATGTATGTAGAATAACAACACCGTCCCTGATAAACAGCAAATGCTCCAAAAAATGGTAGCTGCTACTAATTGTTATTGGCAATTGGATCAGATGACCTTTAAAATCACATTCATCCCAAGAGTCTATGTTATCTCGGAAACATACCTTAAATATAGTCTCAGAAAAATGCTTTCCTACTAATGGCCAAACTATCCCATACAAAAGGATTCATGTTTTTATTCATAAACTCTCTACACCAGAACTGCTCAACTGGGCTCAACTACATGCCAGTCATAACATAAAATGTTTATTAGATGTTCTTAC